AAGGCACTTGACTGCTAACCAGAAGGCTGGCGGTTCAAACCCACCAGCCACTCCTCGGAAGGAAGGTTGGGCATTCCTACTTCCATAGTGATACTGCCTCGGAAACCCAAGGAGGGGTTGCTATGAGTCGGGGCCAACTCAATGGCAAATAACAACAACAAGTCCTCTCCTAAGGACAAGACTCAGCTCCTACTGTGCCTCCGAGACTGACCCATACATGAGGTGAATGGGACACAAATCCAGCACGGCCAACCCCGTGTCGCCGGCCCTACCCCTCTGGGAGAACACTTCGTTTCACGCATAATGTATTCTTCCTACAGAGCCACCTAAAGTGACAACCTGGTGGGCAGGGCGGTGCCAATCCCACCACCCATCTGCAAAGAGAAGACTGTGTGTGTGTCTGTGTGTCCACACACAGCGCTGGCCTCTCTGATCCCTCCTGAGAACACGGTAACTGACTCAGGCTGCCCCCCCCAGGAGGTACTTCAGCACTTAATAAGCCCGCTCCTTTACCAAGTAGACAGCCCCGCATGCTGCTCTGCGAGCCTCAAAGCCTTTGTGGATTCCCTCTGAGAGTAGAATCAGGTGGGCTGGGAAACGTCGGACCTCATCTGCAAGGGTGGTTCCAGGAACGAGGCACGCCTGCCCTGGGTCGGGCTGCACCTCTAGTTCCCCCGAGCTCCGGCTCATCCCAGCAGAGCCTGCCCACCCCGAGAGAAGCACTTCACTTGGGTGCCGAGCCTGGCTCAGGGGCCCAGGGGTCAGTTAGGTCAGCCAGCTAAGTGCTGGCTTGTCTCCTCCCCATGCCCCAGCTGATGACGGTAGCCAGGAAGTGGCCCCAGCAGACCAGAGCCCAGCCAGGCCCATCAGCTGCCCGGCCTGTGAGCTGACCACGGGTCCCCAGTCTGCTGGGAGCCTGACAGCTGCCTGCAGCGCCCCCAGGCCCAGTACACGGGCTGCTGTGGCTCCTGTGGCGGGGCAGCCCAGGCTCACCATCTGGAGGGGTCCCCCACCTCCCATTCCACCCCCACCCCCACCCCCACCGAGCCTTCATTCTTCATTCCTGAAAACTCCTTCAGCCAGCTAGCACATACAGTAAGCACTGCCCAGATGCCCTGGTCCCTTCCTCCCTCCACCAGACTGGGGTTGCACGGGGAAATCTGGGGCCCATCCTGGGTTCATCTAGCTTTTGGGGGTTCACCTGTGCCATCTCCCCCTCACCGTACAGGCCACCCAAACCGCCCAGCGCCTCTCCGGGGTTAAGACGGATTCCCCACCCCCTCTACAGCTGGCTCTGCCGCCTGGGACCAGAGAACGGGGTGGGGCCAGTGCCTCCAGCACAGCTAGGTCAGGACACAGAGCAGCCAGGCTGACCTTTCCCAGGGGAGGGAGTCACACAGTCCCACCCAGAGTGGCCCAAGGCCAAGAGGCAGGCAGCCAGCTCCCTGCAGCTGCCAGATTCTCGGGTGGTACTTCCTGCGCACATTCAATCTCCACCCGGCGTGCACCCCAAGAAAGGAGGGGTCGCCACCCACCTGGGACCCTCTCCCAATGGCCCCATGTTCTCAGAGTCACAGCCAGGCTCCACCCCTTGGCAATCACGGCCCGGGTCCCACTGGTCTCTCCAATGACTCCGGCTGTTCTCCTACTCACTCTCCGAGTCCTGACCACAGGGCCTTTGCACATACTGTTCCTGTCTTCTTTGTCAGCTTCATATTAACAGCCAGTCTGGTGCCTGGCCACGTGCTAAGACCTTTGTGTAGATGACCTTAATCCTCTTGCAGCCTCCTTCCAGCTCTGCCACTAGAGTGCCTGGGTTCAGATCCCAGTTCCGCCGTGGAATGGCTGTTTGACCTTGGGCAGCTTCCTCAACCTCTCTGGGCTGGTTTCCTTGTCCGAATAAAGGAATCACACACAGCACTGGCCTCAGGGGTGGTGGGGAGGAAGCGACTTAACAGACTTAACACCAGCGTCAGCAGTGCCTAGCCCTCGGCTGGCACTCAGTATGCCACTTGCGCTAATCAAGCATCCGTGCTCTGGGCGCAGCCCAAGGGCACCTCCTCATCGGGAGCCTCTGTGACCAGGTGGGCCCTTGGTATGCTCGAGACGTGTGCTAAGGAGATGGCTGCCCTCTGGGGCCTTGCCCAGCCTGAAAGGGGTAAGGGCTGTGGCCCCAGGAGGGGCAGTCCTTGCTCAGGCCACACCCAAACCTGTAAGAGGCTGAGGTGCGCTGCGGCCTGCCGCTCCAGAGCACGCGCTCTACTGCAGGCCGAGGACCCACCTCCTTGGCGAGTGGCATCCTAGGTGGCTCCCCCCTAGTCTTACTCCAGAGAACAGGGTAACCTGAAGTCAGGGTAAGGAGGAGCCCCGCTGAGGGCACAAGCCAAGTAGCGGTTTGTAGCCACGTGCAGCGATGGGGCCCTCGGAACACGCAGTGTCATCACGCCTAGGGTGTCACAGCCTGAGTCTCTTCCCCTGTTCACTCTCCTCCAACCACAGGAAGCGGGTGACGGTTTGGTTCCCCCTGTACGCAGGAGCTCTGGGAGCATAAAGCCTAAGGCACTTGACTGCTAACGAGAAGGCTGGCGGTTCAAACCCACCAGCCACTCCTCAGAAGGAAGGTTGGGCAACCTACTTCCATAGATATAACGCCTTCGAAACCCAAGGAGGGGTCGCTGTGAGTCGGATCCAACTCGACGGCAGTGATTACTGAGTAAGCAGAAACAAGGTCTGACACATGGCTTTCCTGCAAGCCTCCGAGCTGCCCTCCCAGAGCTGCAGGCAGGTTCAGTGGGCCTGAGGTTCTCAGGACACCTGGCTGCTCACCTGCCCGGGCCCCGAGGAACGGGGCTTAGGGAACCCCTGCCCGCACTGGGTGAGGCCCAAGCTGTTTCAAATGATGGGGGGCAGGACAGAGGGACATCACCTGCCCGGCATGTAGCTGGCTCTCGGGTTCTTTCGTATCTCTGAATTTTCGAGGTCTGGGCAGCGGGCTCTAGCACCTTCCCAGTACCCCCTCCCCAGCTGTGGAGACAGAGCTGCTGGAGGCTGCCGGCCCCTGCCTCCCTGCTGCCACCTGAACATTGCCATCAGCAGCCGCCCCGTGCAGTCCCTGTCCAGACTGCTGTGATCCGTGGCGGACGGCACGCTGGGGCTCAGCACGTTATCACAAAGGTCACTGAGCATGTCTCGGCGCACACAGGCCCTGGCAGGCCCCCACACCGGGACCCCGGGGGGCTGTCCCTCAGGGCAGGGCCGCGGGGGCGGCAGGGCCTGGGATGAGCTCACTGCTGTTTAGAGGACCCAGCGCTGAGTCCCCCCCATCCCTCCCCACCCACAGGCTGCCCTTCTGGGGGGCTGCTGCCGCCACCAACTCCTGGTGCCCAGGCGACAGGGAGGGCAGCAGAGTGGGCCGTGGTGAGGACAGCCTCCCCACGAAGGGAGAGCGAGGGTATGAGACCAGGGCTGTCGGTGCCGGCACTGTCACCAGCCACAGCCCCCCGGGGGCGCACGTGGTTGAAAAGACTCATAAAATTCTACAAACGTCCAGAGCAGCATTGCTCCCAACGACTGAAGGGTGGAACGGCGCCAACCTGCGACGATAAACAAAACGTCGTCTACGCACAATGGAGTATTACTCAGCCCTGAAGAGAAACGAAGCTTTGATACGTGCTATGGCCCAGCTGAACCTCGGACACAGTACGCTGAGTGAAAGAGCCAGCCACAAAGGGACAAGTGTCGTATGATGCTATTTATGAAAAACACTCGGGACAGGCGAGTGCGTCAAAGCAAATGAGTGGTCGCAAGGGGCTGCGGGAGGGGATTGGGGGACTGCTGGGGGTGGGGGCTTTCCTTCTGGGGGGGAGAATGTTCTGGAAGTAGATGGTCGTGATGGTTGGACAACATGCATGTACTTAAATGCCACTGACTCAAGTGGTCACTTTGACGTTACATGTTTTTCTATGATAAAACAAGGCACGGGGACCTCTGTGCCCACAGCGAAATCCACGCCAGAGGCTGACACGAAGGCCAAGAAAGCAGAGAACCCCTCGGGGGGCTGACCGCTGCCCCCGGGCCCTGCCAGCTGGAGACGGGGCCTACAGCTCCCAATGGCCATTCCTGACGCCAGCCGTTGCCGGTGCCACCTCGCCTCTTCCGGGGATACCAAGGCTCACCAGCTCGCCCCGGCACCCCTGGCCTCAGGGCTAGGTAGGCCCACCGCCAGGCTGGGCCCCTGATGGGGGGCTATGGAGGGTCTCCTCAGGTCTGGGCGCTGCTGGATGAATTCCAGAACCAGCTGCCCCATGGTCCGAGGCCCTGGGCCGTCCTCAGACCCACCATCCTGTGTCCTGGAACCTCTACAAAGGCCACTTGTTCCCTTCAAGACATGACCCATGACACACCTCACAGGGTCACCTGCAAGCAGGCCTGCAGAACATGGCTTCTGTTCCCAACCCTATGCCCACCAGTGCCAGGCACCCTGCATGTTAGCTCAGGACCCTGACTCAGCAATTCCACGGCGTCCTCCACAGCCCATGCCCCAAACCACCCCAGATCCTGTGATCCACATGGGCATGTTCAAACGTGACACCAATTCCTGCAGCCCTATTCCAGAACATTCCAGCCCAGGACAGAAGGGACTTCATGCTCCCAACTGTCCCTTCCACAGGGACCCAGCCGTACTCCTGCCACCGTTTCCAGAGCCATGCCACACTGTGCACGACCATGAGAGCCACTCCACCAACCACGTGCACAGCAGGAGCGATGGCCTGAGGTCACCTGGGGACACGCTCTGGGGCCCAATGCAGTAGCCAACACAGATCCATCTTACAGAGGGCAATGTGGGACTCCACGTGGAGCGACCACTGTGGTCAAACCAGAGCCTGCTCCTGCTGGCCACACCGTGCCTGGTTCAAGACCAAACGTGCAGCGTCTCCACACACCCGAGCCTCCGGGGCCCAGACCACACCCCCAGGTGGCAGGAGTGCCCGAGCCCTCACCCTTCTTGGCTGTCTCCATCTCCTCCTCGGTCCAGCGGGAGCTCTCGTTCAGTTCCATGGAGGCTGCAAGGAAGATACAGGAGGGTTGGTGGCAGCCCAGACGGGCGGACGGACCTCACTGGCATCTCATCAGCTGAGGGGCTTGGAGCCCCTGGGGGGCTGTGTTCCCTGATGCTCCTGCTTGAGCCCTTATGCCACGCTGGGCACTGGCTGGGCACTGGGGGACCTGCAATCACCCCGTTCTGCACAGGGGGACGCTGAGGCTCCCCGGGGTCGAGGGCCTTGCCCGGGAGAGCTGCCCCTGGACATAGGTACTTCCTTGAGAAGGGGGGCAAGCTTAGGGCATGGTGACCCTGTGTGAGTGTGGCCTTCAGGTGGGCAGAGACCCGCTCTGGCCACGGACCCATCTGGGCTGGCTCAGAGTCCCCTGGGGGCAGTTCCGTGCACCACAGGGTGCTATCCCTGGTCTCTACCCGCTAGAGGCCAGTGCCCTCGCTCCTAGCTGTGACAACCCCAGCATCCCTGGGGGACAGACGCCCCCTGGCTGAGGCCACTGCTCTGGAGGCAGTTCCTACACACGGCCAGTAGCGCTTCGTCAGGTCCTTGTGCCATTGGAAGGGCTGTGCCGGGTCGGGGTCAGGGGCCGGGGGCCATGGTGGAGTCCTGGTCTTGCCTTCTGGGTGCCTGAGACCGTGTGAAGGAGGTGGTGAGGTGGAGACGAGGGGTGTACACTGCCTGGAACAGCACCTAGAACAGTGCCAGGTACAGAGTGTGTACTTGACCAGCCCAGGGGCAAGTGGGGAAGGTGACCCAGCAGCTCACGCCAGGAGAGGGGATGTAGTACTGCCCACACCGGCAGCCAGCAACACCTGGACAGGTGGAGGCCATCAGCGGCCTCCACTCCCAGCAATTCCTGACTGTCCCCTCCTTCCCACAGACCCCCAGAGGGAGGCCTAGCTGGGGGAAGGGCTGCTGAAACAGCCCTTTGGAGGGTTTGCGGGTTGTTCTCCACCTCACGGCACAGTCCCCTGGAGGAATGGTGAAGAAGTCCCCCAGGACGAGGCCTGCCAGCATGCATCCTACACAGCCCTCTTGTCTGGGACTCCAGGCCTGCCAGCACCAAGGGGTGACCGCAAAACTACAAGAGCTGGTAGGGATTTGTGGCCGAGAGGCTGAATTCAAATTGGAGACTTCAGGGAGGCCATACCCCTTCTCAAAGCCTCAAGCAGTCATGCATGAAATGGGTTGGAACCACCTCAGGGACAGACCCAAGGGGCTCAGGGGGAGGAAGCAGCACCTCCGTCAAGCCCTGCCCAGGGAAGGGGCCCTGGCACCGGGGCCTCTGGGGAGCCAGCAGGGGCCAATGCAGGAGGACTGGCCCAAGCCAGCCAGGTACAGAGACAGAGGCCAGGCGTGTGTTGGCTGCCCTCTGGTGGCAGAACTGCAGCACTGCTTCTCAATCTGCCCCCACTGGGGTACTAGGGGAGTCCCTGGGGTGGTGGAAAATGTTTGATCACTCGTGGCTAACCGAAAGGTCGGCGATTTGAATCCACCCCAGGCACTGAGGAAGGTCTGGCAACCTACTTCTGAAAACAAGCCATTGCAAACCCTGTGAAGCAGAGTTTGGTTTTTAGATGTTTCTAGTTTAATTTGCTTTTTAACTTACTTCCTCTTCCACCCATGGGAGCACAGCTCTACTGACAGGTGTGGGGTCACCATGAGTCAGAGACGACTCGGCCAGTGGCTTTTCTGCAGCAGGGGAGTGAGGCTCGGGGCACCTGGAGATGGAACATCTGGCTGAGCACAAAGACACTGAGGCCCAGGGAAGTGAAGGTACGACCGGGACGCCTAGCACGGCCAGGGCCAGGGGCCAGAGCCTCCTAGAAAGGAAGGCTGCTGCCTAGCCCCCACCACAGGAGCCCCGTGGACGTGCTGGCCGCTCTGACTTCCAACAGAACAGACACTAACAGAAAGCAGACGACGTGGACTTTCCAGGCGGCCTCCAGCCACCCAGCCCCTCCCCTGCCCGGGTGCCACTCCAGGCTTCTGCACACAGAAATACACCAGATGCTCACCTGACGAGGTGACTGCTATCAGTTCTGGGCACTGCTGTGACCGTGCCTGCTGTACAGAGCACGGAGGCTCCGCAAGGCCAAGGGGCCCGCCCCAGGCCACACAGTGAGCTCAGCAGACAAAGCTGGGGCTGGAACTCCAGAGTCTAACTCGTGAAGACACGCTGTAACCACTAGGCTACCTCGCCCTTTGCTGTTGGCCATGAATTCAAATTTCATGAAACTTCCATGTGGGCAAAACGAAACATGCACGCTGGCTGGACTGGGACAGAATGCTGGCATTATCCTACGTGGCTTCAGGCACAGGGCAGGATGGAGCCAGGGGCTGGACCCAGGCTATCCTGGCCAGCAGTCTGTGCTGTGAGAGGGCCTCCCTGCGAGGCCCCAACAGGTGCACCGTGAGTCTGATGGACAGAAGCCCTCCCTCAAACATCAAAGCCACCTGGGGGCAGCAGCAGCTCGTTTGCTTCCCAGCATCCACTCAGCACCGCTGGGTGGAGAACCAGGACCTGGCGAGGTCTGCTTCCCAGAGAAGCCCCACCCCATGCGCAGAGGATGGGGCAAGGCCCAAACTTTGAATCAGGCCTGAGGTGTGACCAGGGCCGTCAGTCACCCTACAGTGTCACCTGTCTAAGGTTCCCACAGGCAGTTCTAAGGTGAGGGCAGAGCTGTTGGGACCCAGGCCCTGCCCTCCCAGGTACAGACAGGGTGTTTGAGAAGGTGGGGATTCCCCTCGAGGGCCTCAAAATGCTGTGGATAGTGGAGAGGCCTTCAGATGGGGCTTCTGGAAAAGCATACAGATGAAGGGAGAGATGGGCAGAAAACCATGACACAGTCCAGGGACCCCAGTCCTGCTGAGCCCCACATGGAACCAAAGATTCAGGTCTCATCACTCCGGAAGGGCCTTGGTTTTCCATCCATCCATCCATTAACCCACCCTCCATCCATCCTCCATCCACCCTCCATCATCCATCCATTCATCCTCCATCCATTCCTCATCCATCTGTCCATCATCTAGCCATCCATCCATCCTCCACCCATCTGTTTATCCTCCATCCATCCATCCATCATCCGTGCATCCTCCATCCATCATCCACACATGCATCTACCCATTCATCCATTCCCTAGACATCCATCCTCTATCCATCCATCTATCCTCTAGCCATCCACCCATCCATCTATCATCTAGTTACCCACCATCCATCCATCTGTCTATGCCCCATCACCCAGGCAAGTACGCCTTCATCCATCTTCCATCCATCCATCATTTACCCATCCATCCTCCATCCATTATCTGTCCTTCACCCATCATCCATGCATGCATGCACCCATTCATTTCCCATCCGTCCATCCATGCATCCATCTATTCATCCATCTATCATCTAACCATTCCTCCATTCATCCGTCATGTAGCCATACATCATCCATTCATTCATCCTCTAGGCATCCATCCATCATCCATCTACCCATCCATTATCTATTCATCTATCCATCCACCTTCCATCCATCCATCCATGCATGCATCCATCACCCATCCATCCATCCACCCAACAATCATCCATCCACTCATCCATCCATCTTCCAGCCATCCATTATCATCTAGCCATCCTCCGTCCATCCATCCTCCATCCA